ATTAAATTGTATGATTATCAATAACTATCACTTCAAAAAAAATATAATCAGATAAAAGAACTGATCGATATACAGCCACTCTCGGGGAATGCGTGACGGGCCACAGTAATTAAATTATTTTAATTCGCGTAAACATATCTTCTTCTACTACTTCTTCCTCGTGAAACAGACCTAAGGGGATTCTAAGTCATATATCGTTCGTGTTTTTCCGTGGAAAGTTCTAAGAGATATTTTCCCTTAAAAATGTGAAATATAAGCAGTTATGTTTCCTGTCAATTCAATTTGTTGAAACGACGCATCTAAGGCTAATTTGCATACGGAGAATGAAGTCGCGTTCTGATCGTCGACCAGGAAAAAAACCAAGAAAAAGCGATTACCAAGTTTTCTCCTCATGTTTTCAAAAGTCCAACATTTACAGGGTCTAATGACATTTGGTGATAACTAGAAACGTTAAAACTGTGGAAATTAGTCGATCAAATGCGGACCGTTACAATTCCAGCTTTGCTGTCAAAATGGCGAATTTGTAACATTAACGGAACTTTGTACAGCGCGCAGAGAAGCGTGCCCACAAATTTTATTGCATTAAGACGTAGAATGGTCTTAGTACTTCTGATTTATCACAGACTTGAGTCTGGGTCAGTTGCCACTTTCGCGAAATTACCGTTCAGCTCTAGTTATGCAAATTACTTTTCCTGCTGAGCAAATTAACGGTCATTTAAAAAAAATCATATCTCAGCCAACTTTCCACAGAATGCAACCATTAAACTTTGACACTGTTAATGAGAGTTAAAACTTTTGTGTGTAAAATAATCAGCTTATTCGGCTACGTAAGGTAGGTTTGACAGAGCCCTAAAGTTTCACCAAAATCGCACCACTTCTGAAGGCAAACGGGCCAGTTTTAGGTGACCGAGAAAATCTTCCTGTAATATAGAGAAAAAATTGAGTCGGTCCAAATGAATGTGATATTTCTTCATGGGATAGGATAGCTATCTTCCACTGAAAAAATCAGGGCAATCCGTGAAACACCGAAATTTGCCTTATCGGTTCTTACGCGGACAGCCTCTTAAGTAGCGTTTGTGCTTTTTTGTATATCTCTGGAAAGGCTCAACAGGATTCTTTTTTAACCTCATCAAATAATCTACATGATGTACAAAATAATGTCTGAAACTTTCATTGTTGTCATAGTGATATCAATTTAACTTAAAACTACATTTTGACAAACGTCAATCTAAAGTCTGTCACTGGTAAAAATTTTAATAGTGCTCTGACAAAGATAAAATCACTTTCAAGGCGATTGAAAAATGAAAAGGTCTCCAAAAAACTGTATCTAAACACCTCAATGGAGGTTTACGTGTGGCCTTTAAATTGCTAGTTCTTGTTTTCCCTTCCATAGTATGTCATTTTTCAGGTTTGGTTCGGCATCAATTTTCGTTTTGACTCATCTTAACCTTTTAAACCCTAAGAAAATTTGAAATCTCATTTGTTGCCCCTTCTCATTTCCTACAGCGGTAGTGGGGAGAAGTTGATAAAATATCAAGCAACATCATCTTGTGTCATCACGTCCATAATTCTCATGAACACCTTACCTTACAAAGCATTGATACAAGGAGAAAATTGATGCTGATCACTCTTAGGGCTTAAAGGGTTAAAAAGGGTCAGAGTTTAAAACCCAGGGTGGAACACACCTATATGAAATGTACAGGACTACCTTTCCAAGGACCTGATCATGTGATTTTTATGCCAACTTTTAACTTTTCATATCAGTAACAGAGTTGATTTCCTCCCGTAACTTCCAAAATGACAACCCTATACATAAAGCACTTAACACAACGTTTACTCATCAGGTTTCACACCTGTGTGTAAGTTCATTCTGCTTGCAATCTGATGACTTACTATTTAAAGTACTTTTCACAATTCATGCACTGATAAAGTTTCATTCTTGTGTGGATAAGTTCATGTCATCAACAGTTTGATAACCTTCATGCAGATGTCTCTTACTTCCTTTGCTGCAAACTTAAAAGCTTCCTTTTCCTCAAGCCACAAAGGAAATAGGAAACATTTGCACACAGGATAGAAATTTGATGACCAGCTGTAGCAGTTAACACAATACACTAAGTACTTGCAGTGATAAGGTTTCATTCTTGTGTGTAAGTTCATGTCGCTTGCAAGCTGATGATGATATAAAGCACTTTTCACAGTGTTTACACTGATAAGGTTTCTCTCCTGTGTGGGTGCGTTCATGCTCTGTGCAATTTGATGGCCAACTGAAACACTTATCACAATACTTGCATTGATAGGGCTTCACCCCTGTATGGGTAAGTTCATGTCGCTTGCAATCTGATGACCGGCTAAAGCACTTATCACAATTCTTGCACTGATAGGGTTTCACTCCTCTGTGGACAAGTTCATGTCGATTGCAATCCGATGATGATGAAAAGCATTTATCACAATACATGTACTTGCACTGATAAGGTTTCTCTCTTGTGTGGGTAAGTTCATGTCGCTTGCAATCAGATGACGATATAAAGCATTTATTACAATACTTGCACTGAAAAGGTCTCACTCCCGTGTGTATACGTTCATGCTCATTGCAATTTGATGGCCAGCTGAAGCACTTATTACAATACTTGCACTGATAAGGTTTCACTCCCGTATGGGTAAATTCATGTCGCTTGCAATCTGATGACTGGCTAAAGCACCTTTCACAATACTTGCACTGATAAGGTTTGACTTTTGTGTGGGTTTGTTCATGTCGCTTGCAATTTGCTGACCAGCTGAAGCACTTATCACAAAACTTGCACTGATAAGGTTTTACTCCCGTGTGGGTATGTTCATGTTGCTTGCAATCCAATGACACTGTAAAGTACTTATCACAATGCTTGCACTGATAAGGTTTCACTCCTGTGTGGATTCGTTCATGCTCCTTGCAATTTGTTGAATCAACGAAGCCCTTTTCACAATACTGGCACTGATAGAACTTCAGCCCTGAGTGAGTAAGTTCATGCCGCTTGCAATGTGATGGCAGTGAAAAACACTTATCACAATGCTTGCACTGATAAGGTTTCACCCCTGTATGTGTAAGTTCATGCCGCTTGCAATGTGATGACTGCCCAAAGCATTTGTTGCAGTGCGTACACTGATAAGGTTTCTCTCCTGTGTGGGTAAGTTCATGTCGCTTGCAATGTGATGGCTGCCTAAAGCACTTTTCACAATACTTGCACTTGTATTCTTTCTTTTTGCATTTCACATACTTTGATAAAGTTGGATTGCTCACTCTTGCTGACGCATTGGTCTTGGACATTGTATGTTCTCTTTTAATAGACCACACTTTATCTCTGGAGTTCAAGAAAAATAAAAAGTGGCATGAAAAAACTCAGTGAAAAAGTGAAAGGAAAGGCTTTGTGGTAGATCTAGCCTTTAATATCATGATTATCCAATTTTTTATTAACATTAAATAAAATCATTAAATAATGGGGCTTGTCATTAAATTTCATATTCATGTCAACAGCATTTAACCAATGAGATAAATGAAATACAGTCTGTGCACAAACATGTAAGCATTGACTATTGATCAATAATTGATCAACGTGGTACAACCTTAGACTTTTTTTACAATGGCCTTTACAAAGTACACAAAAGTACAATACAGAGGTATGATTTCAAAGATCTTGTACCCCTGCACAAGTTAGCCTGTTCATAGACCCCCTATTTCCTCTTAAGAGACCGTTGAATGTGCATAAAAATATAAAAGCGATGAGGATTTCTTGGCCATTAATGGAAGGAGGGTGGGAAAAGGGGAAAAAGAAAATATTCTTTCTTTTTTTCCTCATTGTTCATGCTCATTCTCACACTCTGTGCTTGCCAAGTGATGTACATTGTAAAAAATAAAGAAAACATCATCTGTGCACAGGATAGCAGTTCATGAACAATAAGCAGAATTGAATGTCTGCTGTAAAAAACCTTAGCAGATGTTTAAAGAGACTTGATGTTTAAACAGCTTACAATGATTGTAAGCCATGTAGAGGTGTCAAGTTTCCCCTGTAAAAAAGTATTTACAGGCACCACATATTAACATGCAGTTACGATATATCAATCAATCTCACAGGAGAGTGGTAACTTCCTTTTTCGCACTAAAAAGGACAGACATTCAAAAACTGCAATAAAAAAATGGGGTCACTGTGCTTGTATTCGGCCTGTGTGCCTGTAATTCTGAGTGTTTTACTAAGAATCAGGTTAGTTTTCAGGATTGAATTTAAAAAGACTGCAAAATGGACTATTAAGAAGCATTCTGACACTGTGCTTTACTTAAGATTATTTTAAGTCATAACTTTTTCCTTGAACAATTTATCACAGCCATTGAAAATATAAAGTTTTAAAATATATTAATAAATATTATTATATTTTGAATTAAAACATACATAATATTTTCACCATACCACAGTGTAAGTTCCCCTGTTATGGATTTTCAGGAGCAGGTCTAGATTGCTCAAAATTCGGCTTTTACCGATTTCAAAGTCTCATGCCGCAGACTAATTCAGGTGGCGTGCGTGACCAGCCTGGGCTGCCTGTGCCAGAAGCAAGACTCATTTGAGATTTTCGGATGTAAAGGCGTATGTAATGAATGGTAACGACCACAACCTAACATCCACCTTAAAAATGGCGCTTTTTTTGGGGGGCGTATGCCAACATCAACATGGTTGCTAGACTGCAAAACAGTCCGTATTTTTGCGTATTCAAGTACGCGCGAGCAGTCAAACAAAAGGTCTGGAATGAGGCTGAAAACAGAGAGCGAGACTGGGGAGAGACGCTAAAAATACGGACTGTCCATTTTGCATACGTTATATTCGTTCGAATTACCCGCTTCTCCCAGCCACGGGCAATTCCCATTGGCTAAATTTCGATGCAAGCTGTCACCAAGCTGTCAAGTAATGTTTTCAACATGTCATTCACGTTGTTCTATACCGTGATGAATTGCTAAAGCTTTCGCTGTAAAATGACAGATGTTGATCGCCTGGATTTGCTCGCAAGAATTGGGATTTGTTTTAAAATCGGAGCAGAGGGAAGCTTTGGAGTTGCTACTCAGGGGAAAGGATGTTTTCTGTGTTCTACCAACAGGATTTGACAAAAGCCCTATTTATCGGATGTTTGTTTATGCAAAGAGTTCTTCAAGTTCCGTGCAACGGCCGACCGTCATTGTTATCTCCATTATCTCGCCTGGCTAAAAAAGCGATCGGTAGGAAACACACGACTTTTACCCCATGCAAACATGCCGCTTGTTCCAATGAATTGTTTTCTCCGTCGAGTAGATTATGCTTTGGAGGAAAACGTTTTGACTGAGCAAATGTGAATTTTGACCGCTTATTAAATATATTTCATACTGAGAGGTCGTGACACGCATATTGATTTTCTCTGGTAGGCATGATTTGCCCTCTAACGCAAGAGCATTTTCTTTCTTGGCCCCTTTAGAAATGTGAAGCTCTTCATTGCGGCTGATTAAGGGTTTTAGGTTGTTTTATTTCTCCAAAGTGCCTCCTGGATTTGAATAATTTTAAGCCATTTTCTTTGTGTCCGTGAATGTGACTTTTTCCTGCAATGTTTTGTCACGCTGGACCCAGCTCGTTAGCGTTTTTGGCAGGATTTTAAATTCTCACAGAGAGTAATTTACAGAGCTAAATCACCACAACGTGGTTTGGAATGTGGGGATTTACTCATTCTTTTCAATCGCAATAATTGTTCATTGTCAGTTGGCGTGTTCAGTTCTTCTCTAATTTGCGAAAGCGTCGCCGTGCAGTTTCCCTGGGCAATTTCTAACCGTTGTTCCACACGGAGAGCAAACTGCTCTTGTGGAGAAAGATTCTCCTTCCTCGAGGACAACGAGAAGTTCGTTTTCCAGTAGGTCAGTCCACTTTGGTAACGTTTCCCTTTTTCTGGTAGGCGCAACAAACGCATTTTCCGAGCTTATCCATCCATTCGTAAAATTGCCGAACTGTGTACAACAGCCGCACATTCTACAATTTGTCCAAAGCCCTCGGCTCTTTCAGCTTTCTCCCTCTTCGAGGAGCAGGCACAGGCTTTGTTGTCGTACTGCCACTTTCACTCATTTTTGATCCTCCACTATATATTCTACATTTCACTATATACACTACATTTCACAGGGAAGCAACGCTAAAAACTGCTTTAGAATTACTGGATTGCAGCGTCAATAATAACACCCGAGTCTATCAAATTCACAAAGAGGGCGGAGTTGCGAACAGATTTTTGACAGCTCGACGACATTTTTGAACCCCCTGGTCGGAACGAACTCATTGTATGGAAAACGGACAGTCGGTTTTTTTTCTCTCGCCTCACACGCACTACGGGCGTGTGAGGCTCGCGCGCTTGGCGCGCGTGAGACTCTTACGCCACGCTTTACCGATTTCTTTACTGACTTTGAGAAAAAAACCGACTGTTTTGCAGTCTACATGGTTGCATAATTGATATTTTTAATATGAAATCAGCATACAAAACAAAAGCCACTGAGACATAATCAAGAGGAATTAACTTTGTGTGTTAAAAGCAGGGAGAAAAAAGTACAAGAACGTTGGGGAAAACAATTCAATGAAAAACACGTTACCAGGTGCCTTAGAGTTCCGATCCTAGTCCTACCGTATTCAACCTGGTTTGCTAACAGTCAAATTTGCCTTAATGCTACTGGGATAAATGGCAAAGGTTGCTTACCTCACGATGCACAAAATCTGTTCAATGTCTCTTTAAAAGATGAAGAAATGGACAATGAAACATCATCCACTCATCGTCCACAAATGCGTCCACATTGATAACTGGTTTCCAGTCTTTCAGCAAAAACTGTTGCAAAGCCAGAGTGGATTGTGGGACACCTGAACAGTAATCCCACTGTGATCGATGACCCGAAAAGGAGAGCGGAGGGAAAAAAGAACTTTAAATCATGGGAGAAGGAAGGAAGAGGAAGAGAGGAGGAAGCTCTCCTTAGATCAGTAGATCGGTACATCAATGGATCGGTGGATCAATGAATCAGAAGATCGACCCACGGATCCACCGATCCCAGCATTTCCCGGAAGGATCTACAGAATCCGTCGTTCTACAGATCCACCCCGGGTCTGTGACATCTTTCAATGTGCAGATCCCATATCCTTCAATCTTGATAATGAATCATCAATTCATCAATCTACCGAATCACCATTGGTAACCTTGATTACAGCTATTTCACATGTGTGAAACCAGTCGTAATAATGAGAGGTGTCAATGAGCGGGTTTCCTTAAAAGCTTTTTGGCTGTAATTCCGCCCCCCTCCCCCCCTAAAATTAAGTAGATCGGCTAGGCGTGTGGTAATTTGTGTTAGTAACATCAAGATGTCTGATACCTGGAGGTCAACTGTATTTGGTATAGTTATTAATCAAAAAACGTCAGCGGACGGTTTTTCGGTATACACCAGTTTTATTTTCAGCTTTTTAGGCAAACAATCCCACATCATCATCTGATTCCACCTTCTTCTCTTCAATACTGCACTATGGGAACTAAAACATTCTTGGAAATTGACCAAGAAAAAGCTCACCGAAACCAACGAAGTCAGAGGTTAACCAAAACACCAAAGCACTATAACCGGTATGTTCATCAATTCTTCAGCCAGTCAAGGGACAATCATATTTCATTTGCGGTGTAAATCTACACAAGTTAAAAATACATATTTTTAAAAACTGAGCATAAGCAAGGAATATGCTCACAGCAGAGCGAGAAAGAACAGCACAACTTCCTGAAAGAACAAGGGTGTACTGCAGACTTTCAACTCACGTAAAAGCAAAGTTATACGATCACTATTATTGCTTATATATGCTCAGACGCCTGAGACAAGAAGGGCTAAGCGTAGCTTGTCTACAGATGCCCCCCCTCCACTCAGAAAAAATTGGGGAGAGATTTTTTTTAGGGGAGGGGGCGTCTGCACACAGGCTACCTAGGGTAAGCGAGGACAAAATTAACCATTTATTTCACTCTTGTTATGCCACAAATTAATGGACTACGTAAACTTCGTTTACAGGCCCTGGGGCCCGTTCCTCAAAAGTTCCCATAATTAATGGGCCTGTAGAGCTGTTGTTGTTTACATGCAAGCTGGAAGTTTCAATAGTTGCACCTAACGTGATAAAAATATCAGTTAATGAAACAAAATGGAGTAATTTACTACCAGGACCCATGCTCTTATTCTCTTTATTTCGATTTGGATATTTGATTTCTGTGCTTAAAAGTTATTGGGACTTTAGAGAAATGTGCCGCTGGGATAATACAACTTGGTGAGGGGTTTTAGAGGGCTTATAAATGAAGGGGCTTATGTTTCGGGGTGAGGGAGGGGGCTATCACACATGGTGTGACCACTTACTGAATGGACATGATTATTAGCAATCAACAAGATTTGAGTATACAACAGTTTTATTTTCAGCTTTTTAGTCAAACAAGCCAAATCCCATATCATCATCTGACTCCTCCTCCTCTTCCTCCTTCTTTTCCTCTTTCTTCTCCTCTTCCTTTGTCTCGGCAGAGGCAGCAGGGGTGCCACCACCTCCAGCTGCTGCACCGGCCATGGCAGCACCACCAGTGGGAACAGATGCTAGCTTGGTCTTACCCTCAGCAATGACCTAAAAAACAATAACAACAACAATAGTCAAGATCAGTAAACTAATGAACTGTGGATCTCAGAGTGCTCATTTGGGTTGTTTTCACAAACTACAAACTAACAACCAAAAAGGTTTTAATATTACAAAGGGGTTTCAAAATATTTTGAAGCAGGCAGCAGACTCTGGAAAGCGGCTGTTACAATCAAGGGGCAGCAAGGCCCATGAAGCTAGGGGAATCCGTACAATCAAGTAGCTGGAGGAACACCGGCGGTCGCCAGCTTGTTTTGAAAGCACTGATTACAGCATAATTTTTACATTTTAATAGGCCAAAACAAAAAGTAAATTAGAATAAGACTTCAAAGAAGAACCAAAAATGTGACTGTAAAGTCATTTGTAAGTTGTTTCACTTGCATGGTATTCATATCAAGCAAACATTAACTCTCTCTTTACAATAAGCACAGACGCAGGGTTGTCAAAAGTAGCTGCCTTTTTGGTTAGTATTGGCCAGCTACTCTGCTTGGCATTTCTTTACAGATGGAGTTTGTTAAATATCCCTGGACTAGCGGCTTACTCAGACAACTCAGCTGCCTACTTCAAAACTTTCTGACAACCCTGCAGATGCAACAAGAAAAATATTGTTTTTATTTACTATAAAACAATAAAACACCTTACCTCAGAGATATCTTTGCCACTCAGTTCCTTGATAACCACATCAAGACGTTCAGAGTCAACATCAATACCCACACTTTCAAGGATTGCCTTGATGTCTGAGGCAGATGGATCTTTGTTCCCACCAAGGGTGGCTAGAAGGTAAGCGGCCACGTAACGCATCTGCAAAATATTCTTTATTATTCCTTTATCACATAACAGAGCTAAACTTAGTGACACTTTTCGCAGCCCAATCTATAATCATGACTAGTAGCCCACATTTCCTTCACTCTCACAAATTTCTATTATGACTCTACCCTTTTTTATACCACCAACCCTTAAAGATACTACAAAGATAACAGAAACGAGAACCTCTGCAAGGCACCTTTTTAAATTTAGGATTAACCACTAAAAACTCTAAGCACATACGCTTGATTTTCATCAGGATGATAAGATGAAATATACCCATGAGCGACACTAGTATACCAGAGCTTCTTTCTCGTGTGCAAAAAGCGTCTTGGCACAAAGGCCAAGGATACAAGGGGCAAAAATGCTAGAAAAAACCTCTGGCGCATAGGGCCTTGATTTATCATGCTAGATGGACCATGACCCTGTCTCTAATCTGTCAACATACGTGAAGTGTGCTTGGATTGTTTGGATTTGATCTTTTTCACCTTCAAACTACCCACGTCCTGATCATGTGCCTACTGCGACTGAAATACAATCATCGCCTTTTTTTTTTTTTAACAACAACAAATTTTATTGAAAATTGGAAAATAACTAATTACATTACTTTCCCACCCACAAATAGCTTATAAACTAATCGAGGCGGGGGGAGCTGAAGACATATTACAAAACAAGATTTATATACAGATGGACTAAATAACAGTGAAGACACTACTATACAGTAAATAGAATTTAAAATACATGAAACAAGGCAAGAACATAACAATTACGAAGAGAGGCTAACCTAAAGTATTAAATAACTTAATAAGACGGGAGACTTCAACATAATCATCTTCTGACCGCAAGAAATTTAGTAATAATTCCTTTATTTTTTTACGAAAGGACAAATGTTTAAGTATTTTAATCGAATAACGAATAGAGTTCCAAATTTGGGCACCGATTCTCGTGAAAAAGACATACATTTTATCGGTTCTAGAGAACTTAACGTAAAACGAGTTGCTAGAGACAGATCTTGTTCTGTAGTTATGAATCTGACTTGTTTTAACGAACTGATTGGGTATACTAACTGGTGCTGTCTGTCTGTTGATATCATACAATAAATAGCTACAATCTCTTTGCATTGTTTGCAGCAAGTTTTGTGTGTAACTACAAGTTTCATATTTTAACAGATCTATGTTGAAGTCTCCCATGAGATAAATATTTTGATTTTGACGGCATTGGCGTTCAAGAAAATCTGTCAAGTATTCTAGAAACTCATTAGCGTTATTGTGTTGCCTGTAAGTAACACCACATACAGATTTCTTATTGTTAGGCAGATGAAGTTCAATCCATAGGGCTTGAAAGCAAGAATTGGAGACTCGTTCTAGGACGCGGTATTTACAATTTTGATCAATGAACAGGCCAACACCACCGGCAGATAAAGGTGTCAGGGCCGATTCAAAACAGTATCCTGGTAATTCTGGTACAAAATTAAAACTACATTCACGATCGCATATATGAGTTTCTGTTACACAAATAATGGTAAAACGGAAATTCATTTCACTTAAGACATGATGTTGAAATTCTTCAAAATTTTTCTTTAAGCTACGTATATTTGTGTGTAAAAAGGAGATTTTTGATTGCAACTGTTTGCTGTCAATAAACTGCGCAAAGCTGTGCGGGGAATAATATTTTGAGGGTATTTTGTTTGAGGTGAGATTTATATCAGGATCAATATGTTTATCAAGAGAGTTAAGCTGGAATACACTAAGGTCGTAGAGACTACTGAGAGAATCTAGCAATTTTCTAGAAGGTCGATTATCATCAATTAAACTATTAAAATGTGGGTGGGCAGAAGTCAGGACTTTACAATTATAATAAGGTAATTGCGCGAGTAAGGTCTTATTTTCGATCGCACACTGTTTCTTTGTTTTGTGAGAAGTCATTTTGTATCGTGTACAATAGACATTTTTAGTAAAATCTAACCTTTGAAACATTCGAAATCTCCAAGGAACCAATCAACAAAACATCCAGATTCTGGATGATTTGGTATAAGTGGCGTTATCATTGGCTCGACGCGATCAAAGGGATGGCGCTCTTGTCCAGAGGCTTTTCGTGCGGGTCACTTTTTAAGACTTAACTGAAAATGGAAACCATGCATGAAAAGCCTCTGGCACCCAGGGTACTTGTATAAGGGACCACATTTTAAAATCCAACGGTTTATAACTTATTTACACAAATATCTATACATATTACAACAGATAATTATTCTTATTGACCTTGAAACTCAAGCATGTGTGACAGCTTGAGCTAGTCATTTGTAAGCCCAAGGATTTCAATTCCCATGGAAAACAATATTATTTTTCATTTCCGTGCCTAGAGACAATGGGAAACCATCCATAACAATTTTTTGGTTCCGTCACAATTCATGGGAACCCACCTCTTAAATGTTTTCAATTTTTGGAAGTCATATACTTTTCTTCTAGGTCCTGGAAGCCATAAAACGTTCAATGCACTTTGGAAACAATTCGAGATGACAAACAATCGAAAGATGCAAGATGCTAATCAATGTTTTAGTTTCGTAAATATATACAGGCCAATTCATAACTAAAATCTGAGTGGAAAAATGGTGAATATGACACTGGCAAACTATTTTTCTGTTCAGTTATTTTAAGACCACGGTAATGACACGGGTACCAGAGACTATCATTACCATGAAATCCTTGGACTTGCATGTGGGTTTACCAGGATAACCATCTTTGTAGCGACTACATAATACCCATTGTCATCCGCAGAGCTGTGATCCTTTAGGCAAGAACCTCGAGAGCTCTGGCCGGTTTCAGGTACGCTGAATGTGCAAGCACAGTAGCTGACATTTTTTTGCCAGTTGTAAAGGTTATTGTTTTGAATTGCTGAGGCTGCAAAAATTGCCAAAAGTTGTGGACTTCCTCTTTTGGACCAGCAAGAGCTCTCAATCCATGACACTGGCCTAAAGGATCATAGCTCTAAGGAAAAGAAAGCAGAGCACCCAGCCACCTCATTTACGAGTGTCTGAACGCTTTGAAGAACAATGCAAAGTGCCATGGAGCTGTTCTTATTTGACCGAAATACAGATGGGGTGACCGTTCATTCTGCAGCTTAGATTCAATAATTTTACAGGCTCAACTATTAGAAAAACAAGATCTGTTCACCGGGGTATTATCGACGATTGTTCCATTAAGCTCTCGTCCTGATCGTTCTTCCGATGAAAAGAAAAATACAATTTCAATATCTTCCCTTCCCATCTCAGCCTATTACTATCCTAAAAAGTCTGAAAATCTTTAAGTTACAAAATGGGGGCCTACTTTACAGCATGTGTCCACGACAAACTACGTTTGCAGTGGCTCTCCTTGACACTTCACCACTAATTTATGGTAAATTATTTTCTGACAACACTGTAGAAATTTTAATACTCACTTTTTAAGTCAAATCGACACGAAACGATGTGCACGCTGAAAGATTTCAATCAGATATTTTCACAAGTTCGTCTTCTTCGGACAAACGAGCAGAGAAAGAAAAACAGCACGTGTCTGATTATATACTCCACACAGGGGCGGACCAGAATGACTTCAGGGCTGCTTGGTCACCAAGCGAGAAACAAAGATGGCGGACAGAATCACTCAGTTACAAGATGCCCTAAATCAGGTGAATTTTCGCTCTTTTTTCAACGCACACAACCTGAAGCGATTTCATAGTGCATTTAATGAAACTCTCTTTACGTAAAGAAGAAAAATGTCCATATCGAAGTGTAAAATGCGACTTGATCGGCCAATTAGTCAAATTCATAATTGAGGATTAGATCCGCGCTGTCTATCAAATAGCCTGTGCACAGACGCCCCACCTCCCCTGAGAAAATATCAGGGAGAGAGACGTCTGTGAATCGCCGTCGTTAATCGTGTTCCGGTAAACACTTACGTAAATTATTCTGTTTGTTTTCCCTCTGACAGTTGAAAAGGTGTTGACAAACCAACACCACTCTTGTTGTTCCTTTTTTCCCCCGTTCCCCCGTTCCCCTTGTTTCCCCTGTTCTTCTTGTTCCCCTTTTCCTTTTGTTCTCCTGATCCCCATTCTCTATTTCCCCTTGTTCCCCTTGTTCCCCTTCTCCCTTGTTACCCTGTTCCCCCATTCCCTGTTCCCTGTCTCTTGTTACCCTGTTCCTCTTGTTCCCCAGTTTCCCTTGTTTCCTCTTCTCTTTGTTCCTCTTTTTCCCTTGTTCCCTTGTTTCTCCTGTTTCCCTTGTTCTCCTTGTTCCCCTTTTTCCGCTGTTGCCCTTGTTTTCCTGTTCCCCTTGTTCCCCTGTTCCCCTTGTTCCCCTGTGTGTGTTTTTTGATTAAGCCTTTGATTTTACTTTGAATTGTGTGCCAAAAACAAGCTAATTTTTTTAAGGTTCCTGTTTTATTGTAGCTTGCAGATCAGTTTTGTAACAGTGTTGGCATATTGCAACAAACAGCTCAGCCTGGAAGAAAGTTTACTGGCTTTGACCAATGTGAGTTTAGAACAGATATATGTACAGTAATATAGTGTGAAAGGATTTTACCAAATGAAGTACCATATTTCCTTGAACAATAGCCATCCCTCGATTAATTGCCTGTCTTGAATAATCATCCCCCTTTGTTAGAAATATTAAAAATTATTGGCTCCCTCAAATAATTATTGTTCCCCACACATCTTACCATCATGAGTTCTCTTTCTTTTTTCCCCTCCCTGTCAATATGATCCAGCAAAACTGATCAGTGATGATTCAAGCTCTGAAAATTAATCAAGGAACCATATTTGGAACACTTAAAAAGCCCATGTTCAGTTTATTTGATGTCATATTTTTTTTCATTTCAATGGGATTGTAAAACAAAATATTTGAAATAATCAATATTTCAATCAATATTTGAAATAATGGCCTCCCTGGAATTATCGCCTTCCCTCAAATAATCACCTCCTTTTGATGCAAAAAAAGAAATAATCACTCACAGATATTATTCAGGAAATACGGTACATTATTAAGCTTTTCAAGTAACTTGGTTATTTTTTTTCTTTTTTTGTAGCATCAGGTGGAGATGGTGGAGATGTTACTCAAGAAGGTTTGCAAAATTTACTTATTTGAACATTTCTTGAATTTATAAAAGCTTGCCAGTTATTTATATAGTTTAATAAAATAATGCACTAGTTTAATGCTCCTGGAGTCAAAGAAGTTTTGTTAGAAAAGAACTGCTAGGTTTTGGTGAAACAGAGAGAGAGAGAGAGAGGTGACATAAATTATCTGTGAATTATAATGGAACTGTATAATTTTGTACTTAGGGCATGCTGCTTTGTTTGCCACTCTTATTGCAAGAACTGCCAAGGATATTGATTTCTTGATTGAATCTCTGCCAAGTGAAGAATGCTCGCCAGCTCTTCAGGTATCAGCAATGTCTGTTTTGTATGTTATGTAAAGGACAGCAGGTTATTAGATATGTTCCATTCGAGATAACAAATTGGACAAAATTATTAATAATTAATGATTATAATGATTATAAATTATTTATAATGAGGAACAAAATATGCTATTAATGCAATCTGCTATATTTGGCATCATAATTAGGTAGAAAAAGGTAAAGAGTCCTTATTTCACGTTGATAGCTTGAAATAGTCATCTTACTAACAAATCTGAGGCTGACAGTGCCCTCATTTTACCCCCCTCCCCACCCCTCCTTCCCTATGTTGTACAGGTATTTAAAGCTACATAAAACTACACGAGAAGGAAAGAAGACTAAAGAATGATTTGTGGTTACACCTTGGAATCTAGCTTGGGACCTCCCGCACAGAAGGCTGCACACTACCTACATTTAACTGTGCTAATCCTTCCACCTTAGCTTTTATGCAGTTGAGCTGTACACATCTCTGTTATAATATGATATTACACTCTTCAACGCATCTGTTGATCAGATTAAGACATGTTTAGGTTACCCAGCTAAGAATTATTAAGAATTATATCACAACTTTTGGCAATTTTTTGAAACTGTTTTTTGTTCATTGGCCACACAGGCAGCAAGCTTACACAAGTTGGAAAGTGAAAGTTCTGCTGCTGGTAGAAAATTAGAGGAAGCTGTAATGAGAGGAGGTAAATGAACTTCAATGATAAGAATTTTTGTGGTCTTGTGGGGATCTATCTCCTTCTACTTTATAGAGCAAAGGTTGTGTGATATCCCTTCTGGCTTTAGCCTGAGAAAAAAGCTGACATTTTGCGACACCAGCACTGGTTTCCCTGCGAAATGACATCTGAGAAACAAACCCAAATATTCCATACTGATGATGCACCACTACCCAGATCTGGGTATTGCTTCTGATTGCTTGTGCCATGTAGGAACTTTTCTTCAACCAATCAGAAGCACTACCAAGATGTGGGAAGTGACATGTCATCAGTATAGAATTTATGCACTTGTTTCTCAGACATCATTTTAGAGCGAAACCAGCACGGGCAAAAGGGTAAAATGTAAGCTTTTTTCTCAGGCTTCTCTAGATTTTAATCCAAGTAGTCTAAAGGGCAAGTTGTGATGATGTGATTCGTGCATAAAATCCTATGGTGTAACCATTCAAAATTAATCCTCTTCAGTAGTTTGTTCGCTTGGTACTATTTATTTAATATCTACTTCTAAGTTTTGAGTCTTTTAATGAATTCCTATGGTATAACCATTCAAATTAATCCTCTTCAGTACATGTAGTTTGTACACTAGGTACTATTTATTTAATATGTTTCTCCAAGTTTTGAGTCTGCCAATGAAATCTTGTGGTGTGACAATTCAAATGAAACCACTTAAGCAATACTTTTATAGTATGTGGTTCTAGTTTTTAAGTCTTTGGATGTAATAATGTGGTGTGACCATTCAAATGAAAAAGAGATGTCTGCGTGTAAGAAAATAATGCTGAACTCAAGTCACAGTAAAGGACAAGATTACCTTTCCTTTGTGTCGCCATTTGATGTCTGTCTGTCACTCATGTTTTTCTTGGTTTTTGTGGATTCATGCTGTAAGGATATGTTGTCCAAATCAACTTTATCTGATTGATTCTCCTGTTTTTATTCTCAGAAAAGCTACTGGAGTTGATTCAAAAGGCTCTGAGTGATATTGCAGAGTCAAAGCTTTCGACCACATGAGCTGTCCACACTGAGAAATAGCTTTATAGAAAAGGGAGGTGAAACAACCATACAAGATGAACTTACTGGTAGAGCAGGACTTTGTCATCAGATTGGAAGTGCTTAACGATTACATTCTCCAAGTCAAAAGAAGTTGGACGTACTGGCAGCAAAACCCCTCTGGCCTCAAAATAAAAGCATTCAAAAACAGACAATCCACCGCAAAACCACTTTTTTGAACATGCTAAGATGAAATACTGCTCTTTTTGCAGTAGGTTAGCGAGGTACACAAAATTGACAGCCAGTGATAATGCCTATTTCTGCTTAACATAAAAACAGGAAGAAGTTGTTTGGCACTTTTCTTTCGTTTGTTGTAGTATTTAAACACAGGAACGCTGTGCTTTGTACATCTGTTATAATTATACTACAGTTATCTTACTTAAATCAATGTACTTTACCTTTGGAAATTTAACACACTTGCAATATTACATTATTGCTTATCATGATTGTTTTACTTTATACATTATCTAGTACTTACATGTACATGTAATAATGACTGCAGCAGATCCTGGGTGAGAATAAAAATATTTATATATTAATCTTGTTAATTATTGACAAACCTCAGCACAACTATCTCTATTCAGGGGACACTTTCCTTGGTCCCGAGGGTGTCCCCTGAATAGAGGTTCCACTGTAATATATTTTGAAATCACTTGTAATGATAATAAACTTTGCAAGTGTAGTTTCTGGAAACAGAGAATGGCTCAGTAGCCTGTTCCAGCGGTTCAGATTGTGGGGACAGTGCAAAGGGATGTGAGCAAAAAAAAAGAGGGGGTGGGGTAGGGGTGAGAGCGAGGGAACGCGTTCCCTCCTCCCTCCCCTCCCCCTCTTTTCCTCCTTATTTTTTTCTATTATTCCGCTATAGATTATTTCCACTCGAGAAGTTCTGTTACTCTCGTTTAAAACCCTCGAATCAATACGAACATCGGTGAGCCATAAAATCCGCTTAAATTAACGAAGTGGTCGTTTGAATAATGCAAAATTGAAGTTCGTTAAAGTAATATTTTTATGTAAAAAACAATTGAATTGTAAAACTTAACAGTAATTATATTACCTTGGCTTAAGATCTGTGGTCCTACGGCACATCTCTTCCCCCCCGCCCAGTTATGTTTGGACCAAAATGAGGCCCGAAGGGCCAAAAACAGTCTTTTTGGAGACCGGGCCTTCCTTTATCTTCGGGTCTGGATGACCGCGCTCCTTTCGCACTTCTCGAGCACCCGGAATCCCCTTCCCTTTAAAACGTCTGCCGCCATGCAGGATATAGACAGCAAGACTTCTAAGTTACGTGAGCGCAATTTCCTTATCTCTCAGCATCTCTCCAGGGGAACAATAAAGTCGCGCTTGTAAAATGAAGAGGTATATATTAGGAAGGAAGGGAGGAAAAGTCACCCCTATTTTTGCACATTTGCACTCACAAGGGTCAGGGTCAAACATCAAACATGTAGGGTGATCTGGTTCCAAAATTACTCGTGATGATGGGTTAAGGGCAAAGGAGCATCAAAAACGGAAGTTTAATAGTCAATACCTGCACGCTTAAAAGGGTACTGATTCAAAAAGTCACAACACTTCTTTTTGAAACGGACAATGGCTCTTGAAGCACCAAGAGATAGTTTGCAATTGCATAATTGAGTTATTGGAAGAAAGGTACCAACAATTTTATTTTTTGGCAAATCAGCAAGTCATACGAACAAAAGTATGAATCAAATGTCCCCAACTTTTTCAAGTGGCAATTTCTTTTCTTCCTTCATCCGTTGGCAAAAATAACCGTCATCACTTCAGCGCATGTATAAAGTTGTTCTGAGGACTGGAACTCTTATTTTTCATAGTTGAAAACATATCTGGTTGTGTCCTTGATTACTTGTCGTTAAAGTCTCTAACGGAGTAGGCGTGATCAATCACCACGACGCCCCTTTTTTAACAAATACACCAAAATTAATCTAGTGGAAGTTGAGAAGTTGCACGATTCTTTGAGGCAGTTATATGTTTTGAACAGATCCTTATCACGTAATACTTATGATGTGTTGTTGCTTTTAATAGCAAATGACAATTTGTTTGGTAACTTTCCAAGCCCTGTTTAAAAGCCGTAGGTTCCGTAAATACTAGAAAGTGCTAGATAAATTGCACATGCCCCGCTAATTAGAGGTTGACTTAACTAAATGATATCACAAGTTATTAACAATCAACAATGAACCGCGGATATGACGTTTTTAAATACCTACTCAGCAAGAAAGGCAGTAATGATTTAGACAGATGTTACTAGAGTACTATTACTAGCTAACCCTCCGTATAAAGCATTTCAAGACTTCTGTCTTTCATGTGGATTTGAGACCGGTTTAATTTCGCGTTAGTCTGCTACACAGCCGTTTTTAGTGTCGTCACGCAATGCTCCTTCCCACAAAGAACGTTGCGTGACGACACTAAAAACGGCTGTGTAGCAGACTAATTTCGCGTGGGACACTTATCCTGTGCGGTGAATGTATTTGCGAGATAATAAAAATTTTAATAGCAGTAATTGTTTTAAAACCTTTTATAAGTAATTTTTTCCGTGGCTGTGTATTCTGGCAATGATTGAGCCTAAACATATATAGGGACATTTTCGAATGGTCTGAATTCACCAACTTTGTTTTTTTTTTCATTTTATAACTGAGTGCAACATTCGGAAAATGGGCTTTTATATTACCATTCGGGGGCGTTTCTCGGTAATTTTGGGTAGGGGAGGGGGATAACCATTTGAAAGCCCCATATCATTGTCCGATACGAATACGTGATTTCTCACTACCATGTATCAGACCTGTCCTAAATCTGAAACCAACGCAACGTAAGCTTAATTTTTTGTGGTAGTTGTGATTGGGGAGAGGGGAGGGGTGGTGGGAGGTCTAAGCGACTGGAATTGATGTCGAAGACTTGCAGAGGGGAGAGGAGAAAGTGCGATTTTCAAGGTGACCTCAGGTTCCACATGTTAGATGAAAACACTTTTCAAATCAAATTCACAAAACCATACACAATTCCGGCTATACCTCCTTTGTGAGACCAGAGTCAGTACAAAACCCCCAGAAGGCCACGGCAATAAACTCTAACCGAAAGTCTTAAAACACGTCAAGCTGATATGACGAAGCGCCACCTAAGCCTGCAAGAATGATAGAACCTTTTGATCATATTTTAATAAATGATAAGTCAAGAATTTTCAGGGCCGGGTGACACGACGGAGGGTGAATTTGTGATTTTAAGTGAAGTTTGCAAGGGCTTAAAAATTCACTTCTTTGAATTTAATGTCTTCCATTTTGCGCGTAAAGCGCTCTATTTAAAGTTCCTTCTCTAAAACGGCACACTATATTATTCCTAGTTTTCCTCTCTGCAGTCTCACTTCATAAAGGTTTATATCTGGGATGTGGTCTTGCTCCAGAATGTTTGAGGCTACAGATGAAACGCTCTTAACTTAAATTCAGAAAACGATAATTTCCAATCAACGTACCACTAAAAACTACTGAACGTTCACAGTTTAATCAAAAAATAAAAGCATAGATTAAAATATATGATACTAGCAAAGCTAAACCTTTCCATTATCCCTCCCATTTTTTCTTTACGTATACCTTTAGTTACCAGAGAAGAAGCTATCATTAAATTAGTCTGAAAAGAATGTCATTGTCAACTCAAACCAATTAATGGAAGTCTGTGTCAAGAGAGAGTTAAGGAACATCTAATAGCACTTAGGTTAATTTTATCAATCTTAGAAACCCTTAAGATAAACTAATTAACAATTATTCCACGAGTGCGCGTTGGATATGAGATGGTGATAGCCAATGAGACACGTAGCGCCGAGTTAGCTATAATCATCTCATATCCATCAAGCGCAAGTGGAGTAATTGTTTTATTAAAAACGCCCAAAGAATATCGAGAATTCTTCCCTACTTTATTTGTAATAACCGATTTTCAGCTTGTTTTCAATTTCGAGCAGACGCTACAGTTACCTTGGAGAGCCTGGTATAATGGCTGTTAGTAAAATCCAGCCAGTGGTCTATTATCGATGCTGCGTTCTGATTGGTTGAGCTACTACTAGCCTATATGTAATAGCCCACTAGTAGCGAAAAGCGTGGGCTTTTTGGCTGCAAAAAAGGATTTAAGTCTAGCTTCAAAATTCAAATTTTACTAAAACAATTACTCCTCTCGCCCTCATGGCTTCTGAGCCAATAGCTCATGCGGCCTTCGGCCTCATGGGCTATTGACTCAGAGCCCCTTCGGGCTCGAGAAATAATTGTTAAATATTTCGTGATGGCTAAGCCAATCAGAGCTCTAGAATTCCGTTATCCAATGATTCAGCCTTTAAGAAAGTGAGACAGACTAAATTGTGCTAGTGCAGATTGCAAAATGGGTTGTCACATTAATTAGCCTTTCCCATTTTTCCTTTCCTCTTTAAGCATATGCAAAAAGTCTAGTATGAAGCTCCTAAAATGTGTTTAAAAAAAGATAGCGATATATTATTTTGCACAAGCCGTCGAAGATGTAAGTTGAGAGTGAGTCATGCGAAAACAAGATATTTTTTATCACTTATATGCTCAGCTACAATAATGAAACTAGACAATATTATTCGCTCGGATCAATCGAATATCGCTGAGTTATTTATGAGTAAATATAAGCAATAGATAGAGAATTGTACCAAGACATATTCAATGAACCTGAGTCAAGTAATATCCTTTTAACGACGAGGAATGATTTAAACACAGCAAAAGAAATAAAAGCTAAATCGTTATTTTAACTGACTTTATACAAATATAAAGTTGTTAAATTCTTCGTTTTCACATTTACAGTTGGGGATCCTCGGTCCAAGTTTCATCCAACCACCGTAACAACTCCGCAGGTCCACCCCCTCCCAAAGAGTTATTTCGGCACTAATCCCCTCTCCCTTGCATTTGCCGTGTCTGTTCATAGTGTGATCTTGACATTCCACACAGATTGGCTTCTGTGGGTTGAGTTGGTCTGCCCAGGTATTCTTGCAATGAGGGTGTTTGAAGAATACCTTGTAGTTAACACAGTAGCTCGGTCTGTGGAAAAAAAAACTTTGTCATATAACATTGTCTTACAACCTTAGAGATTCAGAACACAAGCTTGCTCTTCCCTTGCCACGAATCAATTACTATAGAAATAGCTTCTGCTACAGCCGAGCCGTTCTGACGAACAATTTGCCTACTGATGCAAGACAAGCAAAATCTTTGACTGGCTTTCGGAAACTGTTAACTTCTAGCTCGAACACGACATTCATGGAAAACAGGCTTTAATTTTATAAATTAATTTCATTTATTTATTTATTTATTTATTTATTTATTTTAACATTCATCTTTGTAAATGCTATTACCGTTAATTCTATAGTTTGTAAACATTTTTAGGATTAGCATATTGTATATTAACCCTGATTGTTTTTACAGTGTATAAATAAAAGTGATAATGATGATGACGATGACGATGACGTCATATTCAGCATCAAAGGGACGTCTAACAGTCCCCTCTCCCCCATCCCCTCCCTCAATGAGAGATAGACCACAACACCGGGGTCTAAATCCCCTACTCTTTTAGAACTGCAGTGTGGGTTCTTTTTTACGGATGGGGTTGGAACCCACGTCATCCCGCTCGGCAGACCAATATCTGGGAGCCTGCAGACCGGCGCTCGCATCGAAAATGAGCTCTAATTAATTAAATGCGTCCATGCAGAACGAGCACGCAAAAAACTACTACGGGTACGAGAGAATACTACCTTTTTGGTTTCTCTGTCTTAACTTGTTTAGATGCTGGTTTGATGCTTTTCCACTTTGAGATCCCCCGATCTTTCTCGTACTTGTGAGGCAGAATGCGCGCTAAACCTGAAAAAACCAAGAGGAAATGTATGGTTCTAAATGTGTATCTTTACACAAAATCCCGTCGTACGATCATGAAAATGCGAATGAAAGCTTCTCTCAACTGTGTTTTCACAAGGTACTGTTTATTGAGTCCGAGAATAAATCCATGTGGTGTGAAATTTCACAAGGTACTATGCATAAACTTTGTATTCTAGTCAAACGATCTTTCTTTCTTGTTATTTGACCCTATAAATTAACGGGTCTTCATTTCTCACAAATTTATAACCTTTTTCTCATGTTTTCTAATAGGCGCACAATTCTACATATTTGACATTTGAGGGGCTTATGTAGGTTATTGGCGAATAAAAACTACATCGTTGCGATTGTCACCAGTCTCCCGAGAGATTATAGTAACACTAGGCGAAAACGTCACGTGATCTGAAAAGAAATCCCAGTGGTTCTTACCAGCCTCCCTTCCGCAAATCTTGTTCAGGCATCCTTTCTTTTCTGTAAGTGGTGGACATTCCTTGCCTCCGTTCAATGGCACGAAAATGACGGTACGAGTTCTCTTACTAACACCTACACCGCATGCCGGCTCGCAGGGACCCCAATCTGACCATTCGCTTACCTCACAATCTCGCTTCCCTATGGAGACAAAGTATGCGTAGTTGAGCTCTCATGATTTGAACGCTACAAGTGACTTATATGGCATTGTGCCAGCCATTTTACAAAACAATTTTGCTTTACAAACGTAAGAAAAATGGATGTAAATCATCTTTTGCGCCACGAAATTGAACAGTCTTAAATATAGGGACTTAAGACTTAGGAGAGGACGTATTCTCTCTGTCAGTCAAGTGATAGTGGGAAGTTCATACATACTGTGACGTAGTTATGTTTCAACACAGTCAAAAGAGATTGAACCGGAATCAGCAAATCCCTTAGAGAGCAGACTTGCCTTTTAGAAAGGTCAGACATCTTGTGTAAGAACTGTATTGCCGCCAAAATTTCGAGAAATGCTCAGCCAACAAAACAATTGTATGTTTTTCGAAACAAAATAGTGTTTGAAGTAAAGCGGCTGTAAGAGCTTTGCTTTTCCATGATTGGTTACACAGATATAAATACTCCAATTTTTCAGCCAATCAGAAGTGAAAACAAAACCAAGCGACTATTCTGGGCCTTCTGCACCCGCTTTTTCCCGCGCTTGCGCCTGGGACCAGGTTCTGTTGGTTCATTGAATTGTAACTACGCCTGTTCTGATTGGTCAGATCAACTTAGGAACTGCATAAACCTTTTCTGATCACTACAACGGTTGACGCAATGTTATTTCAGTGGTTTTAACTGTTTTCGTTCGTTTTTACCAAGCGAGAGTGGACAAAGCGGCGTCCCAGAATCCCTCCTATACTCTGTCAATAACTTTTACGACACTGTTAGTTTGTTTTGTCGGTGGCTCGTGCTTTTGATTATCATCTTTCCGATATGATATTAATGGTCGGCGTTATTGATGGGTCTTGATGACGTCAAAACAGATATCAGTCCCCGAGCACGTGGACCAGACGTAAACTCGGCAAGCTAGAGGTCACGCTTAGCCCTTTATGATGATAAGTTTGTTGCCCTCTTGTGTCATTTTCGTCTATTACTCTTGATTCTAAACACGACCCATTAGTTCCGGCCTAAAATGTGCGCAAGTTATATCTTTTTTAGTAATCGATGATAGAAAGCAAGGAAATAATATGAACTTTAACTCTGAAGCAGTAAAAAACATGAGGAACTATCAAGTAGTGCTGTAATCGGAGAAAATTTTTAACTCGTTTTAGATCAACTTCGCCGATCACAATTGGGTTTTTAGGGCCAATTAAGTCACAATCTAATCTAAACAGGGCCTTTAATCCTCCTATCGTAATTTAAAAAGTTGTCAAGGATTCCAGAAGCTTCTGTTGAAGTTGTTTGTCAACTTCGTGACCGAGTCTTTCGTGTATGGTCAACAAGCCGCTTTTAAAGCATGCACGGCTTTTAGTATAATCTAAAAGCCGTACCATTTCTAGCAAGTTTGATCTCTAAATATTAATTGTAATTTTTTTTCTGATATCAAGCAGAAGAGAATAGTTTTTTCCAAATTTCTACCTAAAAAAGTAACTATTTTTAAATCTGTCGGGTGTTTCTCATCAAGCAATCAACAAAGATTTTTGAAACCTTTGATACACTTCACCCTAATCCTTATGTAACCCGCCCGGGTCTTTTAACTGTTTCAACCGATGATTCGTGTGCTATGCCTACGCATTCCTTTGATGAAAATAATAAGGACATTCTCCGAGCCGGCTATCAACAGGAGCAAGAATTTTAAGTTTTCCTGATTTAAGTTACAGTAAATGGCGTCATTATATACTCTTCGCTGTTGATTGAGTGATACAGTGTTTAATTCTCAGGATTGAAAATAAAAACACCATTCTCATCCGAACGCCTGGAGAAAGAAACTTAATACGGAGAGAGATTGGTACCGGTACTTTGTATCATCAGACGAAAGATTTGGAAAATCCTCTTTACAGGGTTATTAGGAGAACTTCTATTTTAAAATCTATTTATACTTCTAGCATAAATCCTCAGTTTGATAAATGAATAGCTCCTATGATACAAATGAGAAAAATGTCAAATGACCGTAACGTGGTTCCTCGGAATTTCAGAGGTTACGCACGTTCTCCAGTAGAGACATCCTAAGAACAATTGCGTTAACAACTCACTCTCTACTTTCTCAGTAGTATTTAAGTCCAAGCTCAAGGGAAATTTGTGTATTAAAGGATCTTCCCTCATGCTAGTTATTTTTGACTGCCTCTTTTTCTCTGAGATCTTTAAGAGGATTAAACATTTTCTTTCTGGTAGGCAAAAGTCGACAAGACACTCTTTACGTTTCAATTTAATTCGGAATATATTAAGCGCTTTACTGCTAAATCCCCATCAAAAAAATGAACAAAGATGGCGATCGTATCTCCTTACCCAACTTTAAACCAAATAAAACGAAAAAAGCTAAAAAAAAAACCAACGATAGCTCTCGTATATTCTTTTGGGCTACAAAGTACAAACGTGTCAAATGGCTTGAACTAAATTTGAACTCGTAAAAATGTTAAGTGACAAGGAAGAATACCTTCCTATCATCAACTTTATCATCTTCTCTTTCTATTTTTGGCATCATTTATCTGTCACGAAATTTCGTCAGGCTCGATTTACGATGTAAACAATCAACTTTAACAATTTTTATGTTACTGTACTCGTTAACAACTTATGATAAACCTATGTATCCCCTTGTCTTTTACCCCATATAGGACGTTATTGGGAACACGATTTGAAAAGTTTGATGAATAATTTTTTGGACTAGCCATATACTTTGAAATCCGGTCCCAAGAGCTTTATAAAATAATACATCTTTAAACCCGTTTTGTTTCTGCAAAATCTGCAAGAAGTACACTAAAAGGCTTATGTTTGCCGCTAAGATGAAAGAAATAAATACGGCAGATCAGTATTGCATGGCCGGAAAAAAGTGACCCCACCGACCAAGAAATAACAATGAATGCTCTGTGTACCCTTCAACTGGACACGACACGAGAAAACGGAGTGACACCATCAATTCATTTTCTTTCTATATATTGAGCTCTTCTCTTATCTCACTTAGTAATCCCCTTTAAGAAAACTAGACCAGCCATTTTTTTTCTCTGCCGCGGCTCTTTTTTCCTGCCATTTTGGTGTTCGTTCTTTGCGGATAGCCGGTCTTCGCCCTCTGTTAAAAGGAAGTCGGGTTATGACAGTATTGTAACAGAAAACACGTCCACGACAAGACACTTCTTTCTCGCGGCTTCAGAGAAGAGTGCGACCTCTTTGGCCGATTCGCTTGAGATCTAATTGTTTTTATTTCCGAAGGTAAAACAAACTTATCTTCACTTGTCAAAGCCGCCAACGCTTTTTCACCCATTTCGGTGGGAAACAAAGCATCGATTAATGGACAATAAACTCAACGCGCTTATCGGCCTTTCTGCTAATACAACTAATATACTATCACAAAAAGTACTAAGATTTTATCATTGAACAATGCTGGCTCGGATCGGGCGTTAAAAATATCAACAGACCAGTGATATCCAAACAGACTCACGAGGAGCCATCATTGTTTGCCCAAACCGCTTAATAGCTATAAACATTCAAAAATGGCGAAAAACTGGTGCAGTCTAAGGTAGAGCCTTCAACCCGTAAAGAACGGCTATTAACTCTAAACGCCGGTACAAAGAAAGCACAAAACATTTCAATATTCTGACTTACGCTTTCCCCATCCACATGGCTCTTTTACGCTCTCGAAATCCGGACAGCAGTCCCCAGCGGCTTCACAAAATTCATCGCAAAAACACAGAGCGCTGTGAACAAAATTCTCCATGCCGCAACTGCTGTTTCGCCCCGCGCAACATCGCAAGGAACCGCCATGTTCTCTCTGATCACAGCAATGGACTGGCCCTCCTTCTTCTTTTTGAATGCAAACGCAGTTGGCTAAAGTAAACAGGGCAAAAGAGATCGCTATAATAAGCTTCATTGCCTCTGAATTTTGTATTGTTACCTCTTCGATACAATCCGGACGTCTGGAAAGAGACCTTTAGTGTTCGCCTTATTTACATCTAAAAATGCCTTAGACGGAGACAAGTCACGCCGGAAGTTTCAAGGCTGGCAGTGTTTCAAATGGCATGTCAAAATTTGATGTCTGCAACAAGATCCTTGATGTCCGATCCGAGGGTGGACTGCACGTGGAAACTCGGTGACAGATCTCTCATAGACTTTACGTTAACCAGGTCAATGAATGTAAAGATATGTCGTTGCTTTTGAACACAATTGTACAAAAGTTTCTGTTTTTTCACCAAACTACAAGCTGTTATTTAAAATCTGGGAGGGAAACGCAGGAATTTGGGCAATGTCCGCGCTGTGTGAAACCCCTTTGTAGAAGTCTTCAATAAACCTGTATTTTCCCCAAGCCGGGCATTAAGCTAGCCTATCCTAGTAATCACCAAACCACAAATCGACTTGCTGTCAATTTGCACTGCACCCAAGAAACTGTATCGAATATTTCCCTTGAAATAATAATTTTCGGAATGGCCTTGTGTCGGACTATTAAAAAGTGTAAGACTAAAATAGGCCGGGGAGAGAGGATGTTTGAGAAAAAAGAAAAGAAAAAAGAATGCGTATTAAACAATCGTAATGGAGAACCAAAATATTAGAGAGCCCGGAACTGACGAGCCCGTCAGCCATATCAGAGACCATAAAAAACATTCTCCTTCCAACACACATCGAGTACAGAGATCAAGAAGATAATTGAATTTTTATGAAAGTCGGAAGTAAAACCTCTAACGGCTTGTAACTCATCAAAGCATCGCCTTTTCAGACAGACTAGCTCTCAGCAATAAATCTAAAATCTACCAAATGCTTCTACATACTGATATGAATTTTAGTTATTGGATTATTCAGCTGTAGTATTATCATCACAGATGATCGCCTTTACGTCACTTTTCGGTTGTCGGACGAAAGAACATTGGCCTCAAAGCCAATGAAATACCCAACAAAAACCTTGCATTTGCATTAAGTGCCTTGAATTTTCTTTGGGTAGTAGTTTCTTTAGATTTATCATGATTTATCGCACACTTTTTACCAGGACTTTAACTGAGTTGCACAGAATTCAGTAAGGAGCAAAACATTTTACACGTCACAACCCCCCCCCCCGGGGGGGGGGGGTTGTTTACTCCCTTACAAGAGCCCTAGCCTAATGGGGATGTGCCGCTGGATGGGGTCGCATTTTCACGACTGGATTGATCATAATGGGGTCGCAATTTCATTAGAGCTACTAGAAAGGCAGAGAATGGGGTCACACATGTTCTGATTTTTAGGTAAGGCAATCCTTCATATTACCGGTTAGCAAACGTACCAGTATGTTTGTACTGTAGGTAGATGAAAAGCAAAGTGTTATTTTTCATTCAATCTAAAAAAAATGGGTCAATTCATAAAAATAGAAAGTGACTAAGTTGGGATCGCGAAAATTACATATTTGCTTATTATTGGCCACAGAATAGACTATAATGGGGTAGGGACTCTGAGAGGCCAGCGGCGCATACCCAGCAAAAATTAACCCAGGTAACCCCCCCCCCCCCTCCCCGTCCTACGAAACAAAAACGTGCTTTAAAATTTGACCAGCAAAACCAACAACAAAAGTGGGTGGACAATTTCCGAAACCGCAAACAGTGTGCAACGACCACACTTCATCCATTTTACTGATAACGCTTTTATTGTTTTGACCTTTTACACAAAAGAAACTGATAAACAAATTTGTATCGTACCGCGGAACAAAGCTGGCAAAAAGGACAATTTTAAGACTATTCAGTGCACCCCCAGTGTCGTATACCTCTTCGCCTTCTGAAAACAAGTCATTACTCTGAAGAACCGACAGTTCAATACTGATCCAAACGTAAGAGGATACAACGAAAATGATTATTATGTGCCCCCGGGGGGGGGGGGGAATCTCAACAAATTTTTATACCGGGAGGATCCGCCCCGAGGTCCAACCCCCTACCTTTTTATATACCATTTTTCACGAAAAAGGTACCCCTTTCGTTTACCTGATCTTTTGAAAAATGGTACCCCTTTCACATACCTTGTTTAGAACTTTGCATTCCTTTTAACTGCTGTAAATGGATTATCATTTAAGCAGGAATCAATCACAAAAATAGAACGTTTTCCCGATTTTAAACAGCTATAAAATTCATCTGTTCGGCTCTTATGGCCGTTTCGCAGACCCAAATAACAGATCTCCCTACCCTTTCATATACTACAACGAGTAAAATCCCTACCCTCTCATATACCTTAAGCCTGAAAAAGGTACCCCTTTCCCCTATTATAGACTATTAGAGGAGTCCCCCCGGTTTTTGTGCCTCGAGGTAGAAAGCCGTGTGGTAAAAAAAAGAGAACAAGCCGCTTGGCTATGCGAAAAAGGCGACAAACTAATTTCATACTTGCCTATTCAAGGCAATCAGAAAACAAACACAAGACCGAAAAAATGCGAAGAAGAGAAAAAACTAGTAAAATATAACTAAAAATAAAATTTGGCAAAAGCTAAATATAATTAAACCCCGAGACAAAAGGCCCTCTTGTTTATACACTACCCCGAATAGTTTAATCCTCTCTCGTTTAATTTAATCTCACTGTTTTTTTCAAAACAGGAAAAATAATAACAACTATAAGATATCAAAACTACTTTAGTTAGGAACTATGATCACGGAAACTTTTCAAGTGGAATAAACCATTTCACTTCCAGAGTCAAAACCGGAGATACATAAGGTGTAAAAGTTATGTAGAGTTTTACAAAGCATTGATATTACGAGGAGAAATATGATGCTGACCACTCTTAGGGCTTAAAGGGTTAGAGTGATTCTGTGGTGACCATTTCAATGAAACTTTGTCAGTAGCATTTTTCATATGGTACTGATTTGCATAACGCTCTTCAGCAACGGGAGGCTTGGTGTATATTTATGAAATTCTCTTTCACAAAAACCGGAAATTTTTTGGCGATCCTTAGCGTTAATCGTTTCACACCCAGAGTGCAGTGAATGATGAGTCTAATTTTTGAGTTTGTGATGAATTTCTTTGTGACCATTCAAATGAAACCTCTTTGGCAGCACTTAAGGAGGGAACTATTTGTTTTTCAGCTTTACTCAAAATGAAATTTGAAAGTTTGCTACAATTTTGGGAGTGAGGGGCAGATTAAGGTTGGTTATGTCAGTGAATTCTTTTCACCATTGAGTGAAAGCTACAAACCGGAACCGTGCACGTTGACCACTCTTGCAGCGAGGAAGACCGCCTTTTCATGTAAAGAGACCCAAAAGAGGACATACTCCCATGACGGATCCTTTTAGAGAATTCACCTGAGTGGTCGTCAAGAAAGGAACAGTGGGAAATAGATAAAATTACAATCTAGGAAGCTCCATGGGGGGGGGGGGGTGTGTGGAAGGGTATCTTTTCCCTCCCCATCCCCGTTACTCTGAGAGCTTGTTTGCAGGGGAGAGGGGTTGCGCATTTTTTTGTCTCTTTCAAAACGACATCTGTCTAAGAAATTCCGGCAAAAATGTAAGGAAACAAGATCGCCCTCCGAAAAAAACTATAGCAAATAGCTCCAGATCAAGGTAGGTTTTTTCACTGAGCTGTAGCTGAAGTTGCGACAGAGTATTGAAGTGGGAACAGATGTCTGGAGCACAGTAGAGCTGACCACTTGCGCTAGAGCTCCGATCCGTTTGACCAGCACCACAGATTATATATGAGATACCTTCCGGGTCGAACAATGGCGCTGACAAAAAGGATTGCGACTTCGGGGGCAAGAGTGACCAGGATAGCATAAGATAATTTAATCTATTCTCGTCTCTGAGAATGTAGGATTTTGAGTTATCTTATATAGGATTAATCATCGTCCCTTGAGAGGATCTTGAAAGGATGACTATTTCCTTACACGTTGAAATAATAAAAGATTTGGGACTTATACAGGTCTTTTAAATATTGCATGCATGCTTATCTATTGATTTCATGGTGCACTTGGCCTTAACGGCTAGATGAATCGCATATTCGAAGCAAGCTTTGCTGTTTTGGCAATCGAAATAACCTACGATCTGCATCCATCTGTTTTAGGTGGGGGGGAGGGGAGGGGAGCGTCCGGATCGTGCTAAGATGTCGCGAATTAGAAAGTCGATTGTAGCAGCGAAAGTTATTGAGTAACTGATAGATTATTAGAGGATCCCAGCACAATCGTTCATCTGTATGTGTCTTTCGGTGGGTTAATTTGGAAACCGTTCTCCAAATAGTTAACATCCCAGAATCACTTTACACCCCCTTTAGAAGTGGAAATTTTGCAACTTACTATCCTTCCCTTAATGATAAATTTTTGTTACCACCCAGGCCTTCATTTTGGAAGGCACGTGGCCAAATACACCCAATAAACATTATGAATGACTTGACGCGAAAAAGACCTGAGCCAAAGTCTGTATTAAGTCCAAAATATGCTTGTGGAAAATATGAAATCTCAAAGAGAATTGTTCAAAATTCTATGTATTCTTCTACTAACCTAACATTGTTGAATGGGATTGTTTACGTTACGAATGACAGAAGGGATGGCTCCCCAGTTTTTTTAAATGATAATAGATAAATATAAAAACATTTATTATAATGACGACTGCCTCTCCAGCGACTTAAGATCGGCGCTGTATTTAGCCGTCACGTGATTGGCGCAGTTGTATCTGCCGAGCCTGTAAAGGAACAATTAGAAAATAAAGACAATTAAGACACACTGAAATTGATATAACTATCAGAAGCTAAAATACTTTAAGGATTTAACAGAAGAAATTCGCGACACTAAAAACGGCTGTGTAGCAGACCACTTTCTATAGGACATTTTGAGGTTTCACGTAAGGCTGAATCGATATTGTACCGCCGGCTACCCCTTCCTTTGGCCCTCTTCTACCGGACATTTCGAGGATGTGCGGGAAAATTAAATGGTTCATAACTCGCAACCCAAAACAATGTAACTCGTCATCATACCGATCCAAACTCACGCACAAACTAAAAAGTATGGGTAATAAACGGCCTAATAACTTACATCCACTGGGACGCATTTCTAACGCATAAATACTCAACAAACGAGGAAAATTTGTAAGATGACGTCACAAGTCCCTTACACAACAACATCCCATAATATTTACATAACCTTGTTAGGAACGATAAAGACTAACTACAAAAGGCACAAAATTCCCAAAAGAGTGACACAGAACCAAAAAAACCGCTTTACGTCACTTGTGGTAAGAGCTCATTGGCTATCAGTCAGTCCAGCGTGATCGCTGACTCACAGTGCTTGGCGTGTTCAGTGAAAGAACATTTCAATCCAGTTATATTCATCAGGGTAATTATCGACCCTTGTATACAACTGGATACAAACCAAGCTAGGAATCCCAAACTAACCATTTACAACGATGCCTTCCTCACTCTTTAGGGTCTGGAAATAGAAAGTAGAGAAAAAACGAAGCAGTGATTACTGGCCAGTGCTGGATCGAGAGCTTGAGATAAGGGGCGGGGGACGGTCATCCAGACCCTTAGATAATGGCGGGGGGGTCTCCAAAAGAAATTTTTTGGGCCTGTTTGTTTGGTCTAAAAATAAGTGGGGGGCCGGGACCCCGGTACCCCCGGGCCTTCCCCTGGATCCGTCACTGCTGGCGTATTGCATTGAAGGAAGGCAGGGTGGTGGGTGATGATCAGCGTTCACTTAAACAAGTTCGTTTTCAACACGTTTAGAAAAGATCTTGGTACTAGTGTGAACACAGCAGAAGACGTTTTCTCACCGGTAGCTCCTGAGCTAGCTGATGCACCACGCTGTCAAGATATTCCGGAAGTGTTTTGAATGGATTTGTGCTGGGCTGGAAAAAATGATGGCTTCTCCGTGCAAGAAGACGGAGTGCTGTGAAGAGATAACATCAGGTTAAAATACACCAACTAGACAACGAAGTTACTAGATGTAGTCACTATTGAGTTTACCCAACACGACGGCAGGAAAAGAGGACGGCAAAACGCTTGTGTGTGACAAACGTGACCGGGCTATTGCTTACAAGTTGTGTGGTGATGTTTTCTTAACACCAATGTTTTCTGGTCCTTTACAAAAAGATCTGTTTAAAGCAAAGTGAAGTTTCGCGAAAAGTTGTTTCAAACAAACTTATTGTCACGCTTGTCACACAAGGTTTGCTGTCTTCTTTCCTCTCCCGTCCTGTTGCGTAAGTTCACTACTGTCAAGAGTTGGAGACAAAATACTCCTTTAACACATCTTTGTAATTTTTAAAAGTTTAAGAGATACGTCTACGACTCCACACGACCTGCCTTGATTAGCTTCGTTATTTGAAGGTAATCGGTACTTGTGATACGTTGATTTTCATGTAAATAAAGTTTGCGTATGTTGTATCGTAGGGACACCTTCCTATCGCAAAACGTTCTCTCAGTCCAAAAGATAGTAAACTCTGTAACATGGACAGCTGGGCCTATTCATTTCGAGTCCCACTACCATGCAACTACTGTAACCGGGGCCACTTTGACAGAGTTAACCAATCGGAATACAGGAAAATAACAAGTGAACTCTCGCAACGGTTGTATCATGAAGGGTGTCTTAAGGATCAAGTGAACTCTCCGCAATTGAAAGGTGTCATATTATACAGGTAACGATTGTATGATGTAGGGCCTCTTTAGGATCAAGTAAACTCTTCGTAATAGGAAGGTATCATATTGTAGAGGTAAACATTGTATCATAAAAAGTATCTTTAGGGCCAAGTGAACTATTTGTAACAGGGAGGTGTCATGTCATACAGGTAAGGATTGTATCATGTAGGGTATCTTAAGGCCCAAGTGAACTGTCCGCAATGGGGAGGTGTTGTATTATACAAGTAACGATTGTATCACGCAGGGTATTTTTATGATGAAATGAACTCCAAGTAATAGGGAGGTGTCATATTCTACAAGTAACGATTGTATGATGTAGGCATCTTTAGGATCAAGTGCACTGTCCGAAATAGGAAGGTGTCATATTATATAGGGAACGAATGTATAATGGAGGGTATCTTTAAGACCAGGTGAACTCTCCGTAATAGCCAGGTGTCATATTACACAAGTAACGATAATATCACGTTGGGTATATTTAAAATAAAAAGAACTGTCCGAAATAGGGAGGTGTCATATTATACAGGTAAATATAATATCATGTGGGGTATATTTAAAATAAAAAGAACTGTCCGAAATAGAGAGTTGTCATATTATACAGGTTAATATAATATCATGTAGGGTATATTTAAAATAAAAAGAACTGTACGAAATAGGGAGGTGTCATATTATACAGGTAAATATAATATCATGTAGGGTATATTTAAAATAAAAAGAACTGTCCGAAATAGAGAGGTGTCATATGATACAGGTAAATATAATATCATGTAGGGTATGTTTAAAATGAAAAGAACTGTCCGAAATAGGGAGGTGTTATTCTCGCGCGCTCTGCGCGCAAATTTCGCGGCTCGACGAAACCGCCAAGCTACGCAGGCTAATGTAACGATTGTATCACGTAAGATGTCTGTAAGACTAAGTGAACTCTCCATAATAGAGAGGTGTCATATTATAAAGGTAACGATTGTATCATGTAGGGCACCTTTCTGATCAAATGAACTCTCTATAATACGAAAAATGACAGATTAAACAGTCAAGTCTCGATTGTATCGAGGAGTATCTTTAGGACCCAGTGAAATGTCCGCAGTAGGAAGGTATCATACTATACAAGTGACGATTTTATCATATAGGGTAACTTTATAATCAAATATACTAGGGAGGTGTCAAATTAAACAAGTAAACATTGTATAATCTAGAGAATCTTTAGGATCAGGCGCACGCTCCTAAATGGGAAAGTGTCATATTATACATGTAAAGATTGCATCACGTAGGGTATCTTTAAGACCAGTGCAACAAAGGGTGACACAGGGTAACAGAGGCAAAACACAAGGTAAAAAAGGGTAACATAGGGGAACACGGGGTAACAAAGGGAAACAAATGGTAACACAGGGTAACTAGGGCTGACAACGGGTAACACAGGGTAACAAAGTGTAACAAACGGTAACACGGGGTAACAAAGGGTAACACCGGGTAACAGGGTAAAAAAGGGTACAAGATAACACAGGATAACAAGGGTAACACACGGTAACATAGACTAAGACAGGGTAACAAAGAGTAACATAGGGTAACAAAAGGTAACGAAGGGTAAAAAGGGGAACACAGGGTCACGAACGGTAGCAAAGGGTAACACAGGGTATAAAAGGGTAACACAGGGTAACAAGGGTACCCAGGGTAATATAGAGTAACGGGTAACATAGGGTAACACAGGGTGACAAAGGGTAACACAGGGTAACAGGGGTAACAAAGAGTAACACAGGGTAAGAAAAGGGTAACATAGGGTAACAATGGGTAACGCGCGGTAACACAGGGTAACACAGGGTAACAAAGGTACCACAGGGTAAAACAGGGTAACACAGGGTAACAAAGTGTAACACGGCGTAACAAGGGTAACACAGGGTAACGTAGGGCAACACAGGGTAACAAAGGGTAACAAAAGGTAACACAGGGTAAAGCAGGGTAACACAGGGTAACACAGGGTAACAAAGGGTAATATAGGGTAACAAACGGTAACACAGCGTAACACAGGGCAACACAGGGCAGCTTAGGGTAGCACAGGGTAACACTGGGTAACAAAAGGTTACACAGGATAAAACAGGGTAAAATAGAGTAACACAGGGCACCAAAGGGTAACACACGGTAACAGAGGGTAACACAGGGCAACACAGGATAACACAGCATAACACAGGGTAACAAAGGGTAACAAAAGGTAACACAGGGCAACAAAGGGTACCAAAGGGTAACATGGGGTAAAAAAGGGTAACAAAGGGTAACATAGAATAGCAAAGGGTAACACAGGGTAACAAAGGGTAACACAGGGTGACAAAGGGTAACACAGGGTAACAAAGGGTAACACAGGGTAACACAGGGTAACAAAGAGTAACAAAGGGTAACAGAGGGTGACAAACGGTAACACAGAGTAACGGAGGGGAACAGAGGGTAACAAAGTGGAACACGGGGTAACAAGGGGGAACACAGAGTAAAAATGGGCAACATAGAGTAACACAGGGTAACGGAGGGTAGCGAAGGGTAACAAAAGGTAACACAGGGTAACACAGGGTAACAAGGGTAACAAAGGGTAACACAGGCTAAGAGGGGTAACACAGGGTAACAAAAGGTAATATAAGGTAACACAGGGTAACACTGGGTCACACACGGTAAAAAAAGGTAACACAGGGTAACATAGGATAACACAGGGTATAAAAGGGCAACACGGAGTAACACAGGGTAACACAGGGTAATCTAGATTAACACAGCATAACAAACAGTAACATGGGGTAACACAGGCTAACAAAGGGTAACACAGGGTAACAAGGGTAACACAGGGAAACACAGAGTAACACAGGGCAATAGAGGGTAACGAAGGGTAAGAAAGGGTGAGAAAGGGAAAGAAAGGGTAACACAGGGTAACAAGGGTAACACAGGGTAACAGAGGTAACAGGGGGTAACAAAGAGTAACACAGGGTAACAAATGGGTAAAAAGGGAAACACAGGGTAACACAGGGTAGCAAGGGTAACACAGGGTAACAAAAAATAACAAGGGTTACACAGGGCAACACAGGGTAACACAGCATAACACAGGGTAACAAAGGATAACAAAGGGTACCACAGTGTAAAAAAGGGTAACAAAGGGTAAACCAGAGTAACATAGAGTAACACAGGGTAACAAATGGGTAACACAGAGTAACACAAGGTAACACAGGGTAACAAAAGGTAACACAGGGTAACAAAGGGTAACACTGGGTAACAAAGAGTAACAAAGGGTAACACAGGGTGACAAAGGGTAACACAGGGTGACAAAGGGGAACACAGGGTAACGGAGGGGAACACAGGGTAACAAAGTGCAACACGGGTTAACACAGGGTAACACAGAGGAAAAAAGGGCAACATAGGGTGACACAGGGTAACAGAGGGTAACGAAGGGTAAAAAAGGGTAACACAGGGTAACAAGGGTAACTTAGGGTGACAAGGGTAACAAAGGGTAACACAGGCTAAGAAGGGTAACACGGGGTAACAAGGGGAACACAGGGTAACAAAGGGTAACAAAAGGTAATATAACGTCTAACGGCTAACAAAGGGTAATAAAGGGTAACACCGGGTAACGCAGGGTAACAAAGGGTAACAAAGAGTAACATAGGGTAACAAGGGTAACACAGGGTAACACAGGGTAACACAGGGCAATGAGGGGTAAGAAGGGGTAACAGAGGGTAACACAGCGTAACAAAGGCTAACACAGGGTAAATAAGGGTAAAACGGGAGTAACACAGGGTAACATAGGGTAACGAAGAACAACACAGGTTAACAAAGGGTAACACAGAGTCCACAAGGCAACAAAGGGTAACATCGGGGAACACAGGGTAACATAGGGGAAGACGGAAAAACATAGGGGAACAAAGGGGAACACAGGGCAACGCAGGGTAACACAGGGTAACACAGGGTAACAAAGGGTAAAACGAGGTAACACAGGGTAACAAAGTGTAACACAGGTAAACACAGGGTAACAAAGGGGAACACAGGGTAACACAGGATAACAGAGGGTAACACAGGGTATCAAAGTTTAACACAGGGTAACAGAGGGTAACAAAAGGCAACACAGGATAACAGAGGGTAACACAGGGTGAGAAAGGGTAAAACAGGGTAACACTGGGTAACAAAGGATAAGACAGGGTAACAAGGGTAACACAGGGTAACACAAGGTAATACAGGGTAACAAGGGTAACACAGGGTAACATAGAGTAAGACAGGGTAACAAAGGGTAACATAGGGTAACAAAAAGTAACACAGGGTAACAAGGGTAACATAGGGTAACACAGGGTAACAAAGGGTAACATAGGGTAACAAAAAGTAACACAGGGTAACAAGGGTAACATAGGGTAACACAGGTTAACAAAGGGTAACAAAGGATAACAGAGGGTAGCAAAGGGTAACATAGGGTAACAGAGAGCAACACAGGGTAACAAAGGGGAACACAGGGTAACAAACGCTAACACAAGGTAAAACAGGGGAACACAGGGTAACACAGAGTAACACAGGGTAACAAAGAGTAACACAGGGCATTTAAAATTAAAGGCAAGGCTGATCGTAGAGCTAAGGTTTACAAATTTATTTTCCCAATATTTGGACTACACAAAATTAGGCTTAATCGGGGGCTTGAAAAGCTAAGTGAGAATAGAGTAAATGGGTACAGTATATCAAATACTACAAATATAAAAAAATAACATGTGATTGGTTAGGGAACAGAATAGACAAAAACTTGTATAAAGAGGTTACACAACATATGTCAATGGATTAAATTTGATGTCTTCTGTTCATCCCATAGGGTTCAAGTGTTTTGCCTTTAGATATTAAACATCCCTCGCGGGCCGTACGGATACCGTCTCTCCTGTTTGAATTAATTAGTTCTAATGGAATGAGTTCTATGTCCTTGATGGAACGATCTGAAAGGGAGAAGTGGTCTGAAACGGCAGTAGGATGATAAAAGCGATGTGGGTTACTGGCTTTTTCTATTGAGCGTCGGTGCTCTGCAAATCTGTCACTGAGCTGGCGTTTAGTTTCGCCGATGTATTGCATGTTACATTTATTGCACTGGATCATGTAAATGAAATTGGAAGATGAACAGGAGTTGTGGTGTCGTTGTTCGTTGGTAGAGAAGTAAGTGTAAGGCGTGGTTCCTTCTGTAATAAATGGACAAGTCTTACACCTACTTCTATTACAGCGGAAATCTCCAGGTGTTTTGGGGGGTGGTCTGCCGTGTTTGGCTCTGACAAGGTTTTCGTGCAAGTTATTGCAACGGCGGTAGGATATAAGAGGAGGAGAAGGAAGTCTTCTTTGCATCGTTGTGAAGAATTAAGAATGTTAAGATTTCCACAAATAATATGGTTAATGTTAGGAAGAGCTGGATTGAATGTTACTAAAAATGGTACTCTGTCAGATTCCTGTCTTGTGAAGGCGTGGCTGCGTGGAATAAGGCGTACTTTGTTTATTTCTTGCTGGATAAAACGGTGTTTACATGCTGTGTTTATGAGATGTGTGGTGACTGCGTTGAGACGTTTGTTAAAGAAATCATCTGTTGAGCAAATTCATCTTTGTCGCAATGCCATGGTGTAAGGGATCGACTTTTTAGTGTGGGATGGATGGCAGGATGATTTAAGGAGGTACACAGGGTAACACAGGGGAACATAGGGTAACAGAAGGGAACACGGGGTAGCACAGAGTAACACAGAGTCACCAAGTGAACTCTCCATAATAAAGAGGTGTCATATTATACAGGTAACGATTGTATCAGGTAGGGTATCTTTAGGACCGAGTGAACTGTCCGCAGTAGGGAGGTCTCATATTATACAACTAACGATTGTATGCGGTTGTTTAAAGTTTGGTATCTTTGGTACCAGATGGACTGTTGGTAATAAGGAGGAGTCATATAAATTCGTAACAAGTAAAAACGTCGTACGTGAAATAAGTTTAAAGTTTAACTACAGTTAAGAAAAATTTAACTGTAAGAATAATTAACATACCCCTCCATCCATAATTACTTTTCTTTACAACCCTGTAAAAGATTTTAAAGAAAAAAATATTAAACAAATTAACTGAAAATCAGATTACAGGGGAACAAAGGAATCAGATTACTTCTTTAGACCAAGAATAAGTTGTATGTTGTTGTCTGATCCTGGTGTCTCTAGGGCTGTATTGGGGCACTTTAACATGGGGGTCCTGTCTTACACATTTTACATTCCGACTTTACTAACACGAGATATTCAATGAGAAAACCTTTATTTAGGATGCGTCAGTCAGTCATCTGATGCAGATGTTAAATCAATATCCTTCTAGCAAAATACTAATATATGTTCTAAGCTAGAACTTGTACCATGCTAGATACGAAAAACCACTTAAAAACCACCGTTGAGAAGTGGCCAAAAAATGTGTGGAAACGTATTCCCCTACTAATGCAGTGGCACGTAAAACCTCGGGGAAAGGGATCAAGGAAAATACATTACAATGTTACATAAACTACTCCAAAATTATACTAATGGAAAAGGGTGCGGGTCTAAATACCTAAATTCATAAACTAAATACCGAAATAAGAAACCTTATTCCAAAACATACAGATCTGAAGACGTAACAAAATAAAATAGAGAAAAGGAAAACTTGCAAAACAAAACGAAAACTATCGGAAGGACTGAGCTGACGTAGAATGGCGTAAGTCTCGCGTCAAAACCATAAATGGCTCGATACTATCCCAGGAACACCAGCGCGCCTCTATACCGTGCCGTCAGAGTATTAATTTCTGACTAATTCCCATGTCTCTCAATCGTCAGAAATTACATTATTTCAAGCACAACGAAGGCCATTATATGGCACTTTGGTTTTTTTATATAGGGGTTTGTTACATTGGGACGTCTTTATAAGAGGGCCCACTTCCATAAATTTTACAACTAATGGGACAAGAAGTATCACTCGTTACATTGATGTGCTCGTTTGAAAGAGGTTAGTTATAACCGAATCGGGGGTATTTTAAATCGGGGTCCTACCCTATACATTTAAGCCGGGACAAGGAATGCCATTCGTTATATCGGTGAGTGTTGTACAGGGGTTTGTTACATTAAGGTTTAACTGTACCGGGGGACAGTTAAATGAAGGTCCACTTACATAAAAACTTCATTACACCTGGGTCAAGAAGTGGTGTTTTTCGCTACGACGATGCGTTCGTTAGAAGGTGGTTTGTTATATCAGAGCTTATCGGGGGTACTTTAAATCGGGGTCTTACCCCGTATATTTTCTTATGACTGGGACAAGGAATGTCATTTGTTGCACCAGTGTGTCCATTATACAGGGGTTTGTTACATCAAGGTTTAACTGTATCGATGGTACATGTATTTTATATGAGGGTCCTATCCCATAATTTTTACTATCACTGGGACAAAGAGTGTCAACCGTTATACCGCTGTGTTTGTTATACAGAGTTTGTTACAACAGGGTTTCAATGGATTGGTGGTCCTACCGCCTCTATTTTATCATAATTGGAGCAAAGAATGTATTTTTCCGGTTATACTGAGGTATTGGTTATATAGGGCTTCGTTATACGTTAAGAGCCAAGAATACAAGGTGTCATGAATAAGTATTACAACCAATTGGACAAAAACCAGAGCTCTAGTGAAAGAGTTTGACACCGAACAACATTCTTACTTGTATTCATCTTCTACCATAGCTTCTGGATCAGCTTGTTCGATGGCCTCAGAAAAGTACTCTTCAAGTGTGGGAAGAAATACTCTGCAACCAGTAACATACACAGATCACTAATCTTATCCACCACTTTATTTGATAACAATCCCACGTCACGTCTCCTTCGCAGCCACTCGCACTGGAGTCACGCAATTCTCCCCACGTTGGGGTGGAGAGCTTTGCGTGATTCCGGCTCGAGCGGCTGCGAAGGTAGACTATCACCCAGGCGTTTTAGAGGAATCGTATGTGCTAATGACTCCCCTAAAAACGCCCGCATGGAAATCTACTGTGAAGGAGACTAGGGTATGTTTGAAACCTTTTGAATCTGTAAGGAAAACCGGCATTTGGCAGAGAATCAGGGAACCCTTGCTGTTGTGCGCGCTAAACAAAGGCTTAAGAGGGAAGTGTAGGACATACAGATGCCTGTGACCACTCAGACCCTGAGGGTGTCCGTTTAAATGAAGGTTTCCCACCAATCTATCATGGTTTGCCTGTAAGACCCATGTAGTGACATGGCGATTTATTTACCCTCCCAATACAGCCGTCTCACCCCGCGAAGAAAGGTTCCTTTCTGGCATGGCTTTATTGTGGCGTGTTTTTTTTTCTGAAGGGGCGAAAACAAAGCATCTACACGACTACAAGCCACGCGAACGACTTCGTTAGTAAAAGCTGAAAGCCTGATGCCAGAAAGAAACAACTGCCAGCAGGGTACAGCCACCTCTCCTTGTTCCTCGCCGCTAGGGGAGAGGGCTGTAGTCGCTGGCTAAGATTTATTTAATTATGGAAGAAAACTAGACAAGTGAGTCTGTGACATCAACGTTTTCGAAAGAAAAGTGTAACAAACATTTGTAAAATTTAAAATACGAGCATATAACGGTGATGATCTTTCAAATTTCTGCTTCTGCGTGTTAAATCGAACCTCTTCCCCCATAATGCGTACACCTTTCTATTTGTTTGATCCCAAAGTTGCCGAGCTTCATGCAATCGCACCCCTGCAATGCGGACACTTGGTTTTGTCCCTTTGGTGTCCGAAAGAGAGTTTCACTATATCTAACCTGTTTTCAGCTTTGCAGGCCTCCAAATTGTCTGGATTGAGGTTCCACAAACGGGTCAACTCATTACTACGTGAAAGGAAACAGACAGATATCTGACATTAGAATAGTGTGCACCACATCACATAGAGTTCAAACACACCTTTATCGGGTTAACTCATAACAATACAATTTATTAGTTACAATTCTTTTATTGGCTGATCAATACCATAATCTGCGACATTAAGCTAGAGAGGTCAGCTGTGGCCAGCCGACATTTCCCCGACCCTACAACAGTTTTTCCCGCAAAATGACAAAGAGCTTCCGATTGGGTAAAAAAATTGCCTTATCCAATCAGAAGCACTACCCAGATCTCGGTAGTAACGAGTCATCAGTATCGGATTTCAATGCTCGTTCTTGGGACGTCATTTCGCGGGGAAACCAGTGGTGGTGTCGGAGAAGCCGATTTCCCTTTCGTAAATGGTCGTTGTTATTTTAACGGTCGATGCCACCATTAGTAACCAAGCCATTAGTCATGATAGATGTAGTCTATTCCCTGGATTAAATTACAATAGGCTGATTTAGCAACAGGACGGGAACGTCAGTTGACGACGGGAAACCGCGCGGACAGAACTAAACACGACTTCTGGCGCCCTATTTGCGCTCTGCCATTGGTCAAACCAGTTGTTTAATTTGCACGCGCCGTCGTCAACTGACGTTCCCGTTCTGTTGCTAAATCAGCCTAATAAGGCAAATAAGACGTTTTTAGAAAGAACCACGTGGAAGCCCAAGTTGAAATTACGTTAAAAGTTATGAAAAGGGATGGGCTCACCTGTTATTGATGTAACAGTTAGGAAATACAGTTTGCTAGTTTATGTAATTTAATAAATTTTTCCGAATTTTGGCGGGTCAGTTTGGTAGTGTATTGGTACGGTCCGGATTTGTTTGTTTTGTTTTGTTTTATCAACTTTATTGCTCTGAGTCACTCTAAATAAATAGTTACAGTAACGACAAAAAGAAAAAAAAGACCAAAAGGTAAGGTGCAAACGGAATCTCGAGTCCCATGCAGGGCACCTTCCAACTAAGTCAGTAAAAATCTTAAGAAATGCTTATTAAACTATTGTTGCTAGTGGCACCCACAATGTGCAAGATCCATGAACATGGTTTATTGGGGTCAAAGACATTTGCTAATTCATCTTGTACAAGTTAGTTATACTATTCTTAAAAGTCTTTAAGTTTAGAAAGTCACTGCACTGGGTTCGACCCTGGGTTGTGATTACAGGGGCGATTTAACGGAGGGGTTTTTGCGTTACTCAGTATACCGCCATGATGAGTATACAGTACTCTCAATAATAATAACTTTATTTAATAGCAACAATAACAGGTCAAAAATTTTTTTAAGTGTCTCAAAAATGGCCGAGACCGTTTACGAAAGGCACAACTGCGTCGTAAAAATATTGTCTTTTGTCTCAACTTAAGCTGTAACGGTTTATAAGAATTATGGAACTACAGTGTACAATGAAACAAATGTAACTGCCACGTCACATATACCAAAATAGAAGATGCATTTTAGACAGGTGCCATCACATGACTCTTAATTAGGACTTAAAAGCATTACCTTCCCATGAGCACTTTACTAGTTTTCCACCCAGAGGCCATTTCATCTCCAATGCTAGCTTTACGCTTCCTGCAAGATCAAACCATTCAGAAGCTTATTGATTTCCCGCTGCTGATTTTAAGTATTATTTTGATTTTTTATGACAATGATGGATGCTGTTTAAACGAGAAAAAAGGTGATCACTTTGTTTTCAATGAAGAGAACATGTTTCACCCTTTTTCTCTCTTACAGCTAGAGCACTTAGCCTCATGAAAACTTAATTTTATTCCACATTAATGCCAGAACACTTAATTGAATGCTCCACAAATCAATACCTACAGTAAGATGACAGTTAAGCAGCCCAAAAGACGAAGTATCGTAATTATTCGAATAAGCACCCAACTTCGAATTAGCGCCCACCTCAAATAAGCACCCATCCTAAAGGCAGAAAAAGTTAATAAGCGCCCAGCCTCGAATAAGCGCCCACCTCCACCCCCAACTCCTCCCAATCAAACTCAAATAAGCACCCACCCCCACCCAACCCACTTAAGTGACAATGAGATTGAAATTGAAATTGAATAAGTACTAATAAGAGACTTCCCAAAGGACGGAGTTTTCTTCAGAGCATTTTACAGAAACCTTACTTTGTTACTTCTTCGCGTTTTGTTATTAGCATGTACTGTTTTGTTGCAAAATAAGCATACTCCACTTGCTGAAAATGGTGAAATATAATAAGTGCCCAGCCTCGAATAAGCGCCCACTCTCAAGGTCCAAAAATTTAAGAGGCGCCTAGGGCGGTTAATTGAATAAATACGGTACTTGCAAGCTGCTTCGAAAAGAAAAATGCAATGTTGAACAAAACAACACAACTCACCTTGTAGGTTTAGGTTTGTCATCCTCCTCAGTTCTAAGAAATAACAAATATGCTCAAGTAAATAAATAATACATAAAGTGATTTATCAGTGTAAAGCATCCACTTAGAATTTCATACTCTAAAATAGCCCCAGCTGAATTGTGATTTAGAAATTTAGGTTTTTGTGGGGGAAGTAAAATCGGAGAATTTATAGAAAAATCTCTGCAGTATGGTTGTGAAAAAAATACAAACTCTCGAACTCAGACAGTTAACGAAAGACCTGTCTGACTTTTATTCGACAAAAGATGTACAGAATTTCCATACAAGTTTAATTTTGTACCTTTCCTTAATGAAAGTTGGACAACCTTCATTCTTCCATGATATCCAGTTCTCTTCTCTTTCCAAAATATGCTGAGCAAACCAAAGCAAAAAATCATTAGGAGAAATTATTTCGACATGAAAGAAGTTTGAAGTTCAGACTTGTGTGCTGTAAAATAATTTACTTCATTTGCTAAACAATGTAGTCACCTCCACAGCTTTTGCAAATTTTTCACCATCTGGTGGTGTTTCTCTTAGTAACTGCAAAATAAAAATAGAATGAAAAATGAATGAAATTCTATAACCACCAATAAACAAACACAATGTATAGATCTGTCTCACGTACAAAATGTATCCTTTGAGTGTTCTATGTGTAAATATTCAGCAGGGCTACAAATAAGGCCTCCCTTTAGAAAGTGTATTAACGTTTGTCCAAACAGGTCACCATAGTAGTCTGACAACCAGGTTAGGTTGTCTGACATACTACACTTTGTTGACTTTTAATCTCTTTTAGCACATTGGAATCTTACTAATGCTTTGAAATTGCAGTCTTTCATATCTGGTCCATCAGGTCATTATGTTCAATCACAAACGAAATTTCTTCAGACAAAGGCAAGTTTTTAGTCAGACAAAGTTTGATGACCAACTGTTATTTCCAGCTCTGACTGATGCAGTAATACATACACCGATTAACTCTCTCTAGGAAGGACACCTTTAGGACCGGCACTAAGTACCTGTCTAAGTGTGATGTCCATCTTAGTTACTAGTCAACTGCACTGTACATGTAAAAGGAGTCATGACATTCAAAGAGGGCAGATGGCCAATTTTTGTTGCTCAAAATATCTAAAATGCAGGGACCAACTCTGGTTGTCCGTTTTAAAGAGGTGTCCATCTTACAGAGATGTCAGTTAAGAGACAGCGACTGCAGAATGCTCTATATTGAGCCCTTAGTACATGTATAATTATTGAATGCGAAGGATTTAAAATTGCCAGACCACCTGAGATAGTGTAAAGTACCGGTAAAGTGGGGAAATCTTTCATTCCACAGAAATAACCTAACAATCTGGAATTTTCTAGAGATTTCTTAGGAAAGGAAAAGTAACTATTTGTTTACCTCATACACTTGAGATGTCATTTCTTTCACCCAGGTACTTTGTGACTCATTTAAGACTTGATTTGCACTGTATTGTGGAACAAAATTAATAATTATAATCTTTAGCAATGTTTACCCAAACAATCTCAGGGCTATTTTAGTCGTATAAAGTGTTGTGCTAACTCTTGAGTCTGTGGTGGAATCTTACAGTGTGACCATTCAAATAACACTGCTTTAGAAGTTCTTTTATATAGTACTAAATGTACTTACGTACTTTGAATAATAAATTTTATTGTTCTAACTCTTGAGTGAAAGGGTCAGTATTAGATTCCCTTGTTTTCCTATAGTCAAGCCATATGGTGAAAAAATTGTGCACTCTGGGGTAAAAGCACCAAATTTGGCATGGTAATAGTACTTGGGCTGCTGGACCCCAGTCAGGGGGAAGATTTTGTACTCAGGGGGGTGGGGTGGTTGCAGTTTCCAATTTAACTACCGTTATTGAAAAGAAAGCTGCTATATCAATAGGGAATGGTGTCCTAGGGAAGTTTAACAAGGTCTATTTAATCGAACTTTCTAGGTGGCGTGGAGGGGGGGGAAGGTTTCAACACAGCTTAGGGGGAGGGGTAGGAGTATCTCTGTTTGCATGTTTGTATAAGTTTATGTTGTGAGGAAGAATACAATGACCTTTCCTGAATTCTGGAATAATTTTAAATCATTTAGCAATTAGTTTCTCCTCTGAACTTATTCTTCATCTCCATGGTAGTGGAGATGGTGGTGGTGGTGTCTATGGGGGGAGGGGATGGGTGGGTTTTTCCCAGTGTAGTAAGCGCATGTTTCGTATATTATCAGTTAATCAACCTGCGGAAATAAACTAAATGACTTAAGGCACTTTTTTAGGCTATTTAATCCCCTGATCATCGTTACATCATTCATAAGAGGGTAGCAGGGGGGGGGAGGGGTGTCCCGGTCCTGTTTCACGTGTAAATTTTGACAAATTTCACGTATCACATGCGTTATAAATCATTTTTCACGATCCACGAATTTAGTCATCAACCGAAACCGGAAACCGCGCATGAAAAGCCCCTCGCACCCAGGGTACCCGTTACTCAAAGGGGTAAAGAACCGAAAACCACAGTCATCATGGATCACACTTCGCAGTTCAGTAAACGATGGCATCTTCTTTTC